TCCATACCATTGAGGAAATACATTTTGGACATGGAAGCATAATTTTCACTATCTTCAAGCACCATAGTGCCAAATGGCCAACTTGGCAATGCCTTATTTATTGTCTTCAAGCATCACAGTGGCGTAATCTATCATGACATGGTACCAAATTTACCACTCACCGTAGGGTTTGAAATCAAGTAGTTCCATGATGTAATAATTGTAACTATTACTGGACATGATTTGCTAGTGAAGTGACATAACTATTCACTAACTAACTGGTCCACATCATCAAGCATTGTGGCAGAGCAAAAGTTCCAGCATCAAGGCACTAATTCATTTTATGGGCGTCGTGGTGTAACTCTTTTAAGCACCGTAGTGCCACATGCTATTTTTGTGTTTTCCTATAAATAGTAGTGATGTTATGTTTGTAAGAGGTTAGTTACTTTTCTAATTTAAATACTTTTTAGAGAACTTCATTATGTATCTTTTAGAGTCAATTCTAAGGGAGACTAGAGAAGAGTTAGATACAATCATTAGAGTGTTTTAGTCAGTATTTATTTGAGCAACTCTGAATGTTAAGGAAAAAGGAGTATAGAAGAGATACATTGATCATTCCTTATGATATAATTCTAATATATTTTGTTCTTCTATGATTTCAATGAAATGGAGTTTGCTTATTGATGGGGGTGGTTGGGTAATCTAAAGGATTATAAAAATGATTTAGGGCTCTATCAATTCCTAAACAATGCTTAAGTTTTCTTTGATATAAAAATTATAAAAAAAATCCCAACTGTTATACACAAATATATGTGCAAAACTAAGTAATATAATGATAGAGTAGAGTATCGATCCCATAACAAAGAATATTCACTTATAAATATAAATACTGTCAACTATAATTACAATAATTATCATACTTAATAAAAACAAGTTTTAGTGGATATTCAATTGCTTAGTTAAAAATCAATAAAAAATTTAAATGCAACACTATTTGGATAAAATACTTATGATTAATGGAATATAAATACAAGATAGTTTTTAATGAGTCTCTTTTATATTGATACTATTAAGAGCATATGCATCACCAACCACTCAGTCAAGCATAAACAAACAAAGGTTAGATTAAACCTTTCCAACCTCAATACCATTCTAAACTCCCATAGTTTGTCACCCTATGAAAATATTAGAAGAGTAAGTAAAGCATGTACTATTCAAACCCCCTCATTATAATTTATCTCTATAAATTTGGTATATGTTAAGCACTATACCTATGCTTGCATCATACCGATCCAGTTTACTTAATTTTACATGCTTTCCTATTCTTAAGCTCCACATTACACTTGATATTAATTATGCATACGACCACTACATGTATTAAAAGAAGACATGGTATATTGAAAACATCATTAAATTATTGATGAAGAGAATTTAATAATACTCCATATTCCATTTACACCATCAATCCTAAATGAGATAATTTAGCCAGATATAAAGAATAAGTGAAGCAAACACATTTTCATTAATTATATTAAAGAAGGAAAGTACAAAAAAAGATATCATCGAATGGGTTCAATGATCTCCTCTATGCTCCTCATTGAACTTATAGAATTACTTTCTCAAACATTGACTAAACACTATTATGAAGTGGATCTTGTGCTCCCTGAATTCCCTTAGTTGTCACTCCTAACAAAACTGAAGAGAAGCACTGTGAATACTAAAATTAACTATGTGACTAAACTCTCCTACTAATATTTCAAACAAACTATTTATAAAAAAACACAAAAATGGATTCTAGTGATATGGCGCTTGAGACACTTGCACCACAGTGCTTATAAAATGAGCTAACACCACAATGCTTAAGAATTTCCACCATTGTGGTGTTTTCTAAAGTTGACCCAATATTTGGTGAATATTCCATCTCTTTACTGACATATTGTGTCATGAACGATTACAACTATAGTGAAGTTGATGATTAAGCACTACGACATCCAAGCGGCATTCCCCTTGACTTGGCGACATTGGAAATTAGCTCCTTGGCATTATGCAGACAAAGACTAGGCTTTATAGCGCTAACTCCTTTGATGCTTTGACACTATTAAACAAAGACTAGATGCTTCCATGTCTATATTGGGTGCTTCGGTGGTGTTAATGATGGCACCGTGATGGTGTAGTGTCAAACAATGTCGCATTGTACCATACTTAAAATTTTTGCATATTTCTTGCATTTTTCTGCAAAATATAACTAAAATAAAATAATTTCACTAGTAATTTAACATATAAAATATACCATAATTTACACTTATAAAATCCTCCATAGTTTAAAATCTTTCTTTTCCTTAAGCAAAAAAAAAAAATTACAATTCTGATTAAGTGATTAACCAAAAAAAAAAAAATGACAATCTAAAATTACCAAAATTTAAGATAATATATCACTATCTAGAATTAATAAAAATGAACAAGGCTATACTTCTAGTTTGGAAAAACATTAGTTGTTAAACTAATTAATCATTATAGTTAATTTAATCATTAAATTTTAATTGTTAAAATGAATAATTAAGTTTTAATGATTAGATATGGTTGTAGTTAAAATTTAAATTTCATTAGTTCATCATCCCTTGTATTAGCGCTCCCATGTTATCCTTTATAGTTTATGTATAAGATTGTATTTTCAATCTTAAGCTTTAATTAATACCAATTTTGAATGTACTCGCTTTTTTTCTTTTGATTGTTTTTTTTTTCTTTTCCTTTTCTTTTGAGGACTATTTTATAGTTCTTTTTATTTTTATTTTGTAGAGTACATAATTAATAAATTAGTATATCATCTTCTGCTTTAGACCTTCATATAATCTTAATTATTTTAATATGAAGACTTGATGAAATTACTAATTATATCTTCAGGTTAGTTATGATTTCAAATTTTTATCTAATCATATCTAATTTTTAATACTAATTATTCATATTTCTATTTTAAAAGTTAATTTCATAAAGGTGTAGCTCATAAATTCAAATTAGGATAATAGCTTACATTTTTGAACGAGTTAAGTATTAATTTTTCTAACCTATGAAGTATACACAAAGTTCATTCAAACCAGGATCAATGATTTTATTATTATTCTAATTTTACATAATTTTAATTATCATTTCTAAAGGGTTAATTAAATAATTAGAATACAAAAGTAATTGGAGGAAAATGATAATTTAAGCATGATGGGAATTTTCTAATATGTAAATCAACACATAAACAAACATTACAAATAAGACATAACATAATATTAAACAAAACACATATACAAGATAACCAATGCATAAGGCATCCAAAGTTCAACAATAGCTTTGAAAGCAAAATTTTTTAATTAAGTATAAAACACAAGCCAATATCTCCAATTCCTTCCTTTTTTACAAAACAATAAGAAAGAACAAAATACACAAACACATCCTTAAGAATTCTTCGCTCCTCTAAATCTTATGGTTTCAATCTATATCCATTGACTTTATGATTTACAAAGATTTCTTATCATGCATCCTGATGGCACCATTAAGAAAAATTCTAATGATAGCATAAGTTCCATTCCATCTAGTTTTTATATTCATGCAATACTTCTTCCTATAATAAAATAGCTTTACATCTTGCCCAATAAAAAAATCTTACAAGAAAACTCTACCATTAGACATCTTTCTCACTTCTACAAAATATTTCTTCTTATCTTTCTGCTACTCCTCTTTGAGTTTGTTAAATTTAGTAATAATAGAAGAACTTTACATGTGGACAAGTGAAAAAGAATCCTCATTCTTAGTATGTTCTTCATTTTGGTTCTTTGAAGAAGAGGATTTATGCTTAATCCTTCCCATCACTTAGACTTGAATTTCTAAGAGAAGAAAGTATGGTTCTCACTAAAGATAAGTAAGGACTGAGAAGTGAACTTCCTCCTAATAGGCTTTATAGATTTCAGTGGGAGGAAAGTTTGAAAATAATGAAAATTCAATCATTATGGCCCGTCGAGATGCTACAACATTAGAAGGTATGGAGGTATAGCTCTCCCTTCTTCTCTCTCTCAAAAAAAAATTTTTTTTGAAGCAAATTAAGCAAAACCTTTTTTAGAGGATAGGGTTGCCTCCCTGAAAGTGCTAAGTTTATAGTCTTCAGCCAAACTAGATAACCAACTAGACCTAAAGTTAGGTTGCCTCTAAAGCAGTGCTAAGTGCATACTCTTCATCCAAACTTTCCTATAATTTCCATTTGTTTAAGGTGGATGATTATTACTATTCATTTGGTTCACATTGGTATCTCATTCCTTCTCCTGATGATTAAATTTAGTGTTACTAGGAAAATATCCTATGGGCCTACTACTCACAAATATTATAAGCTGACATAATTGAGTTTTTAAGTTTTTAATTGAAGCAATTTGGTATTGTAATTAAGTTCCCAATCACATGACAATATCTTCTAGTGGTATCTTTTTAGTTTCATACTAATTTTCTTGATTAAATTTAGGAGGATAAGCTGGTCTTGGATTGTTATTAACTTAATTTTGATTATTTCAATTTGCTCCTTAGTTATTTTGACCAGAACTCCATTGATTTTCATAATTATTATTTGACCAACTAAAACTACTGTGATTCCTCCAACCTGAATTATATGTATTTGAATAAGGATTATTGTATCTTCCAATCAAATTTATATTTTCAATTTGTTGGATATCATTCTCTTCAATTGAGCTTTTATCTTCCAAATGTAAGGATGAATCAGAATTTAAGACTAAAGTGCTAAACTTATTTGATATTGCTACAACTTGTGTAGTTCAAATAGATAAAAAACATTTTTATAGACTCCTACCACTCTCTGAGGATTCACCATATCAACATGCCACTGGAAATTATTTATTGTCATTTTCTCGATTAATTCATAAGCATCCTCAAAAGGCTTTGACATCAAAGTACCTCCAGCTACAACATCAATTGTGTCCATAAGGGATCATACTAATCTATTATAAATAGTTTGAATTATCAACCAATTAGATAAGGCATGGTGAGGGTACTTTCTAAGCATCTCCTTGAATTTCTCTCAACTCTCATAAATAGATTCTCCTTTTATCTGAGTAAAAGAAGTAATATCATTTTTAAGTTTGATAATGTTAAAGGTGAAAAATACGTTAATAGAAATTTATGGGCCAACTCATTCCTTATGTTAATAGATCCTTGGAGTAAAGAATTTAACAAAATTTATGTCCTGTCTCTTAGAAAAAATGGGAACAATCTATGTCTAATGGCATCATCACTAAAACCATTATACTAATTATTGCACAAATTTCTAAGAAATTTGCTAAACGTACGTTGGGATCTTCTATGGGAGTTTCCCCAAACTAAAAATTATATACCATCTAAATGATTGCAGGTTTTAATTGAAAATTATTAGGTTAGGTGGTAGGTCTATTTATACTTTGATGAATTCCGTCTATCATAGGGTTTGTAAAATTCTTAAGAGAGCTAGAATGATTTATGTCTTAAATAGGGTTAGTTATTTCTAAAATCTTTTTGGTGGTACTAATTTTAGAAAGAGTTCTCTCAATTTTTTAATCAAAATTTATCAATGGTTCCCTTATATGGCTTGTAAACATGCAACCATAATTATGCAAATAGTAAAATAAAATAAAAGAATTAAAGAATATAGTAGGATTAATTATGCAATTGATTCAACAATATAGTAAAATTATAGATAAAACAAAATTTTCCCTAGTAATGCCACCAACAACTTGATGAGGGTGGTGGAGTAACCTAAAGATTTATAAAAATAATTTAGGACTCTATCAATCCCTAAACAATGCTTATGTTTTCTTTGATTAGAAAAATCATAAAAACTTCACTTAATATATGAAAGTATACATACCAAATTAAGTAATATAATGATATAATAGTGTATCGATCCCATAAGGAATAATGTTTACCTATAAATACTAGTACTCTAAACTACAATTACAATAATTATTCTGCTTAATAAAAATAAGTTTTGATGGAGATTCAATCACTTCGTTTAAAATCAATAAAAATTTAAATGAAATACTATTTGGATAAAATGCTTTGGACTAATGAAATATAAATACATATGTTTCATAATGATTTTCTTTTATATTTATGCTATTCAGAGCATATGCATCACCGACCGCTCAGTTAAGCATGAAGAGATAAAGGACAGATTAAATCCTTCCAACCTCAATACCACTCTAAACTCTCATAATTTATCACCCTAAAAATTCTTAGAAGATAAAGTAAAGAATGTGTTGTTAAAACCCCCTCATTACATTTCATCTCTATAAATTTGGTATATGTCAAGTATTATACCTATGCTTGCATCATACCAATCCAATATACCTTATTGTGTTTGCTTTCATATTCCAAGGCACCACATTGCACCTGATATTAAATATAAATATTGCCAGCAAGTACATTAAATTATGACATGGTATATTAAAAAAAATATTTAATTATTAATTAACATAATTCATTAGTACTCCACATTCTATTTATACCATTAATCCAAAATTAAAGAATTTATTCCTATATGAAAAATAAGTGAAGTAAACTAATTTCATTAATCAAGCCAAAGAAAGAAAGTAAATAAGAAAATATATCACTTGATGAGTTCAATAATCTCATATACACTCATTGAACTTACATAATTACTTCCACAAGCATTGATCAAACACTCTTATGAAGTGGATCTAGTGCTCCCTAAATTCCCTTAGTTGACATTCATAAGTAAATTATAGAGAAGCATTGTGAAAACTAAAATTAACTAAGTGACTTAACTCTCCTACTAACATTACAAATGGACTATTTATTAAAAAACATAGAAATAGATTCTGGCATCGTGGCTCCCATAAGATGAACTTATGTCGTAATATTGAAGGATTTCCTCCATTACAATGCTTTATGACGTGGACCTTCTATTTAGTGAATAAACATGTTGCTTCACTGGCAGGCCATGTCTTGAATGGGTATAATTGTAGTGTTACGATGCTGTTGATGGTTTAGCGCTGCAGCATCCATATGACACTCCCTTGGCTTGGCAGCGTTGGAAATTAGCACCTTCATGCTATGTAGATAGAGATTGGGCTTTACAACACTGAGTCCTCTAATGCTACAATACTATTAAACAGAGACTGGGCACCACCATGTCCATATTGGGCGCTCCGGCCATTTTAATGATGGCGTAGCGGAGGTGTAGGGTCAAACGTCATGGCGCTATTCCATAGCTAAACTTTTCACATTTTTTATATTTTTTTGCACAAATACAACTAAAAAAGTAGTTTCATTGGCAATTTAACATAACATTATTTACACTCATCACTTCTCTATCATGTTTGGCTAATTCTCTACTTTTGGATTGATGATGTAGAGAATATAGAAGTGCTAATGAAGATTCTTGTGCTATAAAGTTAAATAATATTTTCAATATTTTTTTGCTCATTATTTAATGCACATAGAAACCATATGTGTACTTAGAATATACTATGATATATAGCCTCAAATGAGGAATGCAAAAATAACTAAGAATATTGAAATAATATATTTTCATACCTAGACATATGATATAAAATATGCTAGATTCCTGAGTTGATATAACTATATGAGGTTTTTTTTTTTTTTTTTGAAGGGAATGCTAAATTGCATTAAAATAAAGAAGAAAACCAAATGGAAGCTACTAAGTGATAGATATCCTATCACATTCCACCTTTAGAACATTAAAAAAAGGAGGAACCTTATTGCTACTAAGATCTTCCCAAAGAAAATCTCCAAGTAAAGCAAAATTAGCACAATTGTGTACTAAATTATTACAATTTCTATTAACAAAGTGGAAAAGAATGTTACCGAATCCATCTAAATATGATAGGTCTTCAATCTCCTCTTCATGAACAAGCCGAGTTTCTTTATTCTTTGATCTTTGTAGAAGTTTGATAATGTTGAAATTATCTCCTTCTATAATTAGACCCTTTGCATCCATCATCCAATTAAAGATGAAATTCTTCAAAGAACGGATGGCAATAAGCTCCAAGGTACCACTATCCCAATGCATGCATTTGATTCCAAAAGCAAGTAAAAATCTTCCTTTCGAGTCTCTAAAAACTCCACCAATTCCTCCATTATAGTTACTAGTTAAAGCTGCATCAAGATTAACCTTTATCCATTCTGAGGGAGGTGGGTGCCAATAAGAAATCAACCGTGATGGCTGGTTAGCATCCCAGTGATCAATGAATAGATTGGAAGAAGAAATTGATGCATAACTAATAGAATTGCCGGCAATGAAGTTAAAACTCCATTCATTATTTCCATGCTTGATTAAATTTCTACTCTTCCATGAAAAATAAACTAGAGAACAATATAAATTTGCCATTGATCTATTTTTCTCTGATAACCTATTCAAATGATACTTACAATCATTGACAGAGGAGAACTTCGGACATAGAAAACCCCAATTTCTTAGAATTCCAATAGCTTGCTGCAGTTTAGAGCAATGTACCATGACATGATCAGTATTTTCATGTTCAACACATCCTCTCGGACATAAATTATGTCCCAGTAGTCTACGATTCATCAGGAATCCATTTGTTGGAATTGCCTCATTGAGAAGTCGCCACCAAAAACATTCAATTCTAGGATTGAGCTTCAATTTTTTTAGCCAGATTCCATAATCCACATTGCTGTCATTTTCATAATTATAAGAAGAGGCCAAAGCAGTAATGCTTTTACCCGAGAAGCATTTATTTAGCTTAATGTTATCCTTAGATTGAAAAGGGTTAATTTCAATTTGAATAATAATAGACACCAGATCTTTCCCAAAGCTTTTATTAAGAAGATCCGTCTTCCAGCATCCATTAGAAATAAAACTCTCCAATAGTGGGAATTCAGTATTTTCTATGGCCACAAAAGTTGGCCATTTTCTAGACTCCTATCCAGAATCCACGCTTCTTTAAGAATGTTAATTGACTTCCCTGCAGCAATTTTACACCTCGTGATCGGTCTTAGAGCCAGAGCACCCTCCGCCAAAATCTTCCAGGTAGTTGATTTGTTTGCTCTGTTAGTATTCTCCAAGAATTTAGAACCGTATCTAGCCTTCAAAGCTTTATTGAGCAAAGAGTCTTCTTCTTTTAAGTAATTCCAAGCAAATTTTGCTCTAAGAGGACCAATCAAAGCACTCACCGACTTTAAGCCAAGACCTCCTTCCTTCCATGATTTGCACATATTTTCCCATGATACATAATGAAGTCCATGAAGACCTCCTTGTCTATCCCAAATAAAGTTCCTAGCAGTTTTATCAATATCTTTAAGAATCCTTTTTGGAATTAAAGTGTGTGTAGCCACAAATACTGGTAATGCCGCTAGAACTGATTTAGTAAGAACAATTCTCCCAGCTAGAGATATCATTTGTTTTCCCCACACATTTAGTTTGGAATTTACCTTCTCAAGAATATAGTTAAAATCTGAGGCTAACAACCTTCTCAAAGCCAATTTGATACCTAGATAAAAAACTTCTTTCACCATTGTGAATCCCCATAGTTTAGTTATAGCTTTTTTTCCTCCTTTTTGACTGAATTTTCAAAAACTATGAGGAATTTCTGATTATTAATGCTCTGCCCAGACCTGTTGCAAAAATCTGAGATAATTTTCTTAAACCTTCTCATACTTCTCAAGTTGGCTTGGGAGAACAACAAGATATCATCAGCAAATTAAAGATGAGACACTCTAGGTGCATTGGCCGATAATTTGATACCAAAGTTCCTTCCACTGTACCGTATATCATTGGTTAGTAATTGAGAGCAAAGGATAAACAAATAAGGAGAAAGTGGACAACCTTATCTGAATCCGCCATATGCTTTAATCCCTTTCGAGATCTTTCCATTTATTATTAAAAAGAATTCAGGAAATTCAACAAATTCCATGATGAGATTCAAAAATCTGATTGGAAATCTCATTTTCTTCAAAATAAATCTCAAGGTATCCCAAGCCATACTATCATAAGCATGTTCCATGTCAAGCTTAATATCCACCCAACCTTCTTTGGATTTTGAAATTTTGAGCTTATTAAACAATTCTTGAGCTAAAAGAATATGGTTTGATAAAGATCTACCT